GTAATTATGCGAGTGATTTTTCATTGTATAATATCGGTTGATATCATTTCAGACACGTTGATCACCAATCAGATATAACGTGATAATCAAACCAATTTAAATTTGGTGTGTTTACTAATTTTTCATTTACACGCTTAGTTCGCTTCTTCTTCACTTCGATGCTATACTTCATGACGTTTGGCTTTTTCGTTTCAAGGTTTACTGGTTTTCGATAAAGGGTAGGCTACGTTCCTTCCTTGACTTAAGTAGCCAAAAAAACCTGGATTTAGAGCGACTGAGTAAAAACCTCGTTGAACATGCTTCTGTACAGGAGAACATGGTTGGGATTATAGTATGGGGACTCGGCGCTATATTAAGAAAGATACATGTAAAACACTTGGGTCTATCGGTTATACCGGGTGGGTGAAAAGTCTCTATACAGGTCCCTTTTTTTACTATCTCCGCTAAGATTTTATAGTAAATATATACAATTTATATATAATATTGCTATATTGGTGATTAAAAAAAAAAGAGTCCTGTATAGAGACTTTCACCCACCCGGTATATGGCCCGAGGAGTCCATAATATCCTCAAGGTCTTAAACGCCAAAATAAATTATCACTTGAGGATTATTATTCATTGCTTCTATCAGAAGCCCATAAAAACCAAAAAGAAGAGATGTTGAGTCTTTATTTAACAGGCGGTCTTGGTTAAATCAGCACTGAGCCTATTTGTATTGTACCTTCCTAACCAAATAGATACACTTCTACGTGGTAGTTGAGACAAGTAGGAGAGATCTCCGAAACTAAGTATCTCAAATTACTCTGATAGACCGTTGGTACTGTTCCTGATAGGATAGGAAAATAAATCAGGTTACGTACTGTTTCCGATAGGGTTCTACACAATTGTAGCAAAGTGTATGAAAAAAATTAGAATCGGTGTTTGCCCTAACAGAAACAGTCAAATGATTTTTTAACCCTATCAAGGTCAGTCCTGCCGATCCATCAAGAATAGTATTTTTGCTGATAGTAAAGTAGATGAGAAATCTGAATCGCATAA